CGGAAGACATCCACTCAGTTTCTGGGAAAATCGAAAAGTGACTTGAGGCTTCTCACCCACTTCCTGACCGGACACTGCAGGTTACGTAAGCACATGTTTTACATGAAGCTGGCGAATACACCCCTCTGTAGAGGGTGTGAAATGGAAGACGAGACGGTAAGTCATATTGTTTGTGACTGTCCAAACCTCGTGTACTTAAGGGAATCTATTTTCGGAGTACCATGGCTCCAAATTTCGGATATAAGGAACATACCTTTCTGTTCTATATTAACGTTCATGAAAAGATTGGGCTGGTTTTCTGACCCTTGAATGAACAGTAAATTGTGGAGACGTACAAAGGGTCCGCTGGGGCCTAAGTGCTGTGAGTATCTCACCCCCACGTGAAACTACATACACATACATGTGTAAATGCTTGATTTTTATGGAGAAGAAGATTTGCTGATTCAGAAATGTATGAATTCAAACTAGGAATAGCTGAAGTGCTAACAAAATCAAAAACAATTCCAAAAAAGCGCGGCTCACCAAGCAATTATTTACAGCCTAAACTGAATCTAAAAAAGAAAAAGTACCCGTTCTCAGAAATTCCTTCCCAAGACTTACGAACGACAATCTTAATCACCGACCAAAATGGATTTCTGATAAACAGCCGCCAACGGAGTAAATATCCGAAATATCGAGGAAAATCTTTTGTAATGTGCACAAAATGTAATGTTCACCTTTGTTTGAATAAAGATTTTTCAGGTTTTTCAGTCGCGTTCCAAGGCTTTTTTGTACATGCCGGTGCATTCTTTTTTGGTGGCAGTAAAATTACCGTATTGTTTGGCATCTGCAATACTTTTATGAGTCTTTTTGAGTTATGCGCATATCGAACTCCATGCATAGCCTCAGAGCACGAAATATTTCAATGACATATTATATATGACATGATATAATTGCAATTGCAGTCAGGTTGGTGTAATGCATGCTATTGTTCGTATTCGGCAATATCTTTTTTCTTTCCCCAATGTTCACATTCTTTACAATATTTTGATTTCACACAAATATCAAGCACTTTTCCTGTGAACCACTCGATTATGCTGACGAAACCGAAAAGAGAGGAAAAGCCACGTTTTCGCCACGAGCCGTCTCCGGAAACAGTGAGCCCATCTACATCGCCTTTGCTTTTGGAAATGCATTTTTTCTCTTCGACTGCCTTCCGAATATTTTTAGTTTTCACAGCTTTTGTGGCTGAAGCAATAATTTTTACAATTGCGTCATATCCTTTGTGAAAGACAGTTTTTGAAAAATTCATAAAGGCACAAAATTTTTGAATTTCCAAATGTCCAGTACCAATAAATCGCATTGGCAATATAAGACGTCTGTTTACGTCATAAGCGACTATTAAAGTGTTTTCACAACTTGCTACTCTCTGCTACTCTTGGCAATATTTGGCACAACACCCTAAATACATCAGATGCTGTTTTCATTTTCTTCGGTAAAGTTGAGACAGTCTCAGAATTATTTTCCTAACCTATTGCAGTTAGGTGGCTTTCTGTTAAATTCTTGCTAATTGGATGGAAGTGACATGGATGTTATAATAATTCCTTTTCTATGCGAAGAAGAAAAAAAAGGAGCCAGAGCAAGTAAGGAAAAAGCGAAGAATATATTTGCACAACATATCTAATTCACGTTATGAAGAAGGGTAATATCACACACTTTTGCCACCGCTTAAAATGACTCCTAAAGGGTTTAATACATATTTTAGAATGTTTGAACATAAATTCGACGAGTTATTGCATATCCTATATAGAAAAACAAGACACACAATTTCTAAAAACAACAGGGGTAGAAGAAAAACTTATGGTTACTATATGGTAAGCATTTATTTCATTAAAGATTTAATTAAGTTCTATAGCATTAGTAACATCTTCTAGGGGAAATTAAAGCCCATCCAAAGCTACAATATTGATGATGTCAAGTTCCTTATTAGATTTTCGTGTTCTAAATCAGACACTATTCAATAAATTTTGTTTTTGGTCTTGAATTGTAGTTATGGAGGCAAGGCTATAACGGAGTCAGTCATAGCTCTGCAAAAAGAATGGATAGGATGTGTACTTTTCATTGTTGTCTGAGTCGACTGCAAATAATTTTGTAGAACTCTGGTCACTGATATTTGTTGTGTTTGTTTCTTTTTCCTTGCAATCAGTAATATTTTTAGACATCAATGATGTGCCGATGAAGAAGATAACTCAGAAGAATCCATCATTACATCAGCCTGAAGATATGGAAGCACGTAGAAATTACCTCGCCACCAAAAAGTGAAACGCTATATTTTAATTATAAGAAGTTTATTTCTATAGTGCTTTATATTATGCTAACTTTATATATGTAAATGTTGGCGATCTTGAAAAGAATAGCGATGCAGGGATCTTTTCACGGTCAGATTTAGCAGCAAGACTGCAAACAAATACTTTGAATATACCAACGCCAAAAGAATTAGCACGAATGGGAATTCGACTATCTCACTTGATTGTTGGCGACGAAGCTTTTCAATTAAAAACATATTTGATGAGACCTTATCCTGGCACACTATTAAATTATCAATCTAAAAAAGTATATTGTTACAGGCATAGCAGAGCAAAAAGAGTTGCAAAAAACATATTCGGCATATTGTGCCAAAAATTTAGAATTTATTCGCTATAAAATTAATTTCTTAATCCAACCTAACTACCCTCTTTTTAATCCAACCAGCCGTTTTGAAAAATCGCTTTTAGTTTTTTCGATAATTTTTTCGAATTTTGCAATTTTCGCCTATTTAGTTTTAAAAATTCGTATAAAATCCATTTCCTGGAATACGAATATGAAAATTTCCTGTAATGTTAATAAAAGTGTCCTCTTTCCAATGAAGCAACACGTTTTCAAAAATAACGTTTAGTTTTTGAGAAAACAATATTTGAAGTTTTGATAAAATTTTCGATGTTTCAATTTTCATCGATAATTTTCAAAATTCGCTATAAAATTAATTTCTTGAAGGATCCTTATGGAAATATCGCCAATTATTAATTAAAGTATCCTCTTTTTAATGCAAAAAGCC